AACTGCAGTCCGTCACAGTCCATAAAAAGATCTTCGGCCAACCAAAGCAACACCCACCTCGTTTTCTTAAAGCCGGGTTTTGTGCCGGTAGTTCTTTGCGAAGAAGTCGTCAGAGATGTCATCAACCTTCGTGACAAAGTTTAAACTCGCGTCTGCGCAGATTTTCGCATTTTGTCTTTTGACGCTTTTTTGTCGCTTTTTTGTCTTTTTGTTTTAAGCCCAATTCTTAACAATTCTTAATGGCTGTCGTCATAGCATTGTTCAAAACTTGGACGGCTCTAGACACGGTCTTCTTTTCAAGTAGTTGGGGATAAATATGCTTATCGGTCGTCTTCGGACACATAGGAACATGATCGCTTCTAATATCTATTTAGTAAACTTCTTCCAATGCATCTGTAGAAGTTTTACCGTGTGGCGTATCTATATCTCGGCTTAGTAAGAGATTTCTTGCTGACTTTATTAAGCGGAAATAACCTTATATGCAGTACATTTTTTTCCTTTATATTCGATATATGGGTGATCCACGGATACATTCTACTTATATATACATACATACACTTTGTTGAGCGCGGATGTTTTTGTAGTCGCTTTCAACCGACAACGGACTGATGATCCATTTAGTACGCTAAGGCCTATCGGCTCTTCCTTTTTAATTTGATTGCTTTAAAAAAGCTAAAAATATTATTGACACTACAGTTTTTTTACTTCCTTACTTTTTTTCTTTTTGTTTACTTTACTTTAACAGAGATTGCGGTCTTTTCAAAAGAGTTAGTCGAAACTGCTGGTTTTCTGGCGGAGTTACCAGGGATTGCAGCTTTCTGGTAATTTATAGGATTCAATAGGAAAAATTCGTAGGAATCGCATATAAGGTCATTTTTTGTGGAAACTAGGATCGGTTTGTGGAATAATTTATGCCAGAGAAATAAGAAACATAGCTTTTTAGACGCAGTAGTTACGTATGTAACCGTACATTTCTTTTCGATTGTACTTGGTTTTATAAAGTAAACTGTTAAACAATTTAAATCGGCAAGGTGTCTAACCTTCTTATGGACTCTTAGAAAAATGTTTCAAATTTTTCTCATATTGATTAATTCTACCACCTTACTAAAATTAAATAACTAAAAGGTTAGTGCGCTCTGGCAACTCTAGTTCTACTCTTAAAATGTAAAGTTTACATGAATCGATCAAATTAAAAGGCTTTTCTGAGCCGATAGCCTGTGTTGCTGGTGCTCAATGTCTTTTTTTTAGTCTAAGAATTCATTTCATTAGTCTAAAATTAAAATAATAATAATAATAAAAAGCTTTTCTGTTCGAAGATGTTTTAATAACTCTATTGTTTCTTTTCTGTGTTGCATATCTTCTGTAATTATTATTATGCCATTTTTTTGTGAACTAGCGTTGACTATTTACTGAAAATATATTAAGCGAAAAGCTTCGAAGATATTTTCCCAATGGCACCTTTGAGAGTTGCGCAATGTTGGTAAAAGTAATTCTATGGCACTCTTGAAAGGTAATGGCTTGTATGAAGTTAAAATAGAAACTTTGTGGCTATTTTTGAGTGGAAAGTCATACCGCTTTGATAGCGAGCCGATATTCTACAAAGAGTCATTATATTCAACATACAGTATCTCTTCGACGAAGCCGATAGCTCCTCGGATGTTTGTATGTGTGTTTTGCACGTTTCTGGTTTGAAATTTCATCTATCATATAACCCAGGCGTTGCCGCGTTTTTGCAGAACACTTTTAATGACATTATGCCGACTTTTCAAAAGATGCCTGTGAAGATAATTTGATTCAGTTTTACACCCAGAAATCCCGGAAAATCCTATGGCGCCGGTATTATGACTTCACCAAAATGGCAAAAAATTATCAATCAAGATAACATAAATACAGTTAAATAAAATCCATTTCAAATGTAAAAAGCATGTGTCCGTATTATGATAGCGAAAAAGCCACTCTTATCTTGATTCCAAAATTTTCCTTTCTTCGCCGATTTTGTTATCGTAAATGTTCCAACAACTCAAGTAGCGTAAAACTTGTTAAAAATTTACCTAAACTGTTTTAATATATCTTTTAAAAAGCACTTCTTTCACTTTTTTCTCTTTCGACTAACATGTTCGCTCGCATTACTAATAATGCCTAAATGGCTCATTCTTACTACTATAAATAAACCTTTACCGAACTTCACTTACAGTATTGCCACCTAATTAATATTTTTGTTTAAAGATCGTCGCGAGTTTAAAAAATAATTAAAAATGTCAATTTTTTTATGAACATTTTTTATACTTTATTGGAAACAGCAAATAAGTAAGCAAGTGGTGGGTATCAAAAAATTTGGCTTAAGCCAAACACAATATCTTTCTCTTATTAGATGTTCGCTACAAACAAGAAAAAACGTCAACTCTTAACTCTTTTTTTTTAATTTTTGTTTCTGTTACTGTTGTTACCAAGTTTTATTATAAAGATCTTTTTTTATTGTTAAAAAAAAAAAAAAAACAATAAGAAACCCAATAGGATCAGGTTTGTGATTTGATTTTTTTATGTATATCATGTGAAAGATAAAATTTTAAGTGAAAGAGTGACAGTATAAAGAATGATTGGATTCGAAGAAGGCGACAACGGATGAATTTTAACTAATTTATCTTTTTTTTTTTGCAATCAAAGCATTATGGGACTAATAATTGTTTTACATTTAAGCCATGGAATCTTCGACCGAATAAATTTCGTTGAGTGTTAATTAAAGTAAATCTAATTTGTTTTATTTTTCATTTATTTTATAACTAAAAAACTTAACTTTTTTTCATTTTATAATAATTATATGCAAAAAAAATAAATCTATTTATATATATTTAACGGATAATTAAGAGCTTTTAATGGATTTTGTTTTTCTCTTTTTGCAAAAAAATTAAAAAAAAAAAATGTTTTATCGCTGCTGTTGTTATTTTAATTACTTTATAAACAAGTTATTGTTGCTTGTGTTGTGGTTGTTTTTGTAGCTCTTGTTGTCCTACTTGTTGCCGTCGTATTGCTGTTTCGCTTACCAAACAGAGAGAGAAAGTTGATTGGTTTACATTTATTTAATTTGTCTGAATTTTTATATATTTATTTTTTTTATTTTATTTTTTTAACTACTCTATAAATATTTATTTCTTTTTGTTTAAATAAATTTTCTAGATTTTGTTTCCTTTTTTAATTTATTTTAGATATTTTTTTCGCTTTTCTTATTTTTAATCATGCGTTGTAGTGTGTATTGTAAATTGTCAAAGTGTTGTTATTGTTCTTACTTATTTTATTATTTATTATTCTTTTGCGTTTTGTTCTTGTTGTTTACTCTTTCAACTAATTTTCGCTTACATTGAAAACTATGACAGTGACTGTGTTCCCGGTATGTGCTTTTTCTTTTGTTTTTTTGTTTTTTTTTTTTTTTTTTGTATGTTTGCTGTCTTTGCTTATAAGAAAATTTCACGGTAAGCATTTGATACGCTATATACAGTGGAACCTACCTTAACGAGCACTTTGCGTAATAAATAATTTGCACAAAGTGCAAAAAGAAATTCCCCGCTTAACAACTTGTAGCCTATCTTACTGCGGCCTTCTGGTCGCCACCAAATTATTGCGAATTTTGAGAACCTCGATCCTGAAATCTCCGTTACCTTGCGGAGACTGAAGTTTAAAATCTTACTTCAGATATGAGTGAAAAGATTTGAGAAGGAATTACTTTTGTTGCTCTTGGCTTTGATTGGGGAATGCTGTCAAAAATGTGTTTCTAGTCAAGATTATGCAAATGACATTGATTTTTTTACAGAAAACCACAACTAAGAGTCGACCATCAAAATGTTTACTGAGTTGCATTGTGCTCAACAGAGGAAGACGTAGAAAATCTCTTCGCACAATGGTAGAAACATTAAGAATACAAAGCCATAAGTTTATTACACGTTTTTATTAAAATTTTTGAGTCAAATAATTAACAATCTATATTGTTATATGATCTCTTTTCAAAAGAACGCACCTTAAACGCACAATTTTTCTTTTTCTATTTGGCTGACGAGTTTTAATTTTCACGGGAAAATTTGCTATGTTTAATGAATGTTTCCCGTTTTGTGAGCGACGTGTTGTGAAGCCTTACGTATGGTGGTCGCGCTCGTTAGACGAGGTTCTGCTGTAAATTTCCACTATTTCTTTTTTGTGTGCCTGTGTATCGTTTATTTTCTCTTTATTTTTTTTATTAATATTTTAAGTCCTTACATGTAGAGCTTAGCAAATTTGCGTCTAATTTATTTTTTATACCTTTGCTGTGTTGGTTATATTTTTTCCTAATCTTCATGTTTAGCGTAAATTTTTTGACTAAAAAATGTTGACTGATTTTTAATTCTTCGTTTTTTCACATTTTGTTTTTATAATTTTTTTCGTTTTCCAGTTTCTTTGTTAGTTCATGAGTCTGACACTAAGATCGTATTCGCAGTTACGTGTATATGGGTTGAAGGACAAAGGGGAAAATATTTTGGTTTAAATTTTTTTTCTTTTTCGGCTTTATTTAATTTAATTCTTACATCAATGTTTTCTTTTTTTCATATAATTTAAATTTACTTAACCATTTAAATAATTATCTTTTTTGTTTATTAATTATTAATAATTAAAAAAAAAGGATAAAAACGAAATTAAATAAAAATTAATAAAATAATTCTTTTTGTTTTGTTGTTGCTTCTGTTGTTGTTGTTGTTGTTTAAAAAGCTTTTTCATGTTTCTTTGCTTGTTTTGCTTTCATTTGTTTGTATTTGCTGTGGCTTTTGTAGGTTTTCTGCTTAGGAAGAAATTAATTAATTAATAATAATAATAATGTTAATTATAATAATAAAAATTAAAAAATAATAATAATAGTAATAATAATAATAATAATAATGACACACACAAAAAGAAAATAATTAAACTTTACTATGCAGACAATAATTAATAATGACAATAATAATAATGCTCATCTTAATAACTTGCAGTGTTGGTAGTGTTTTTGTTGTTTTGTTAATATTTTAATTGGAAAATTAAAATAATTTAAGAAAAAAAATTGATAGAAACCATCTGATATTATTCTTCTCTCCTTATCCTTTTAACAGAAAGCGGAAAACAGATAAACGCACAGGTGCTCGAAGCTGGTGATATTGAAGTTAAATTAGTTGTTGCAGTTGTTGTTGTTGTTGCTGTAGTGGTTGTGATTGCTGTTTGTTTTTAAAAGTTATGGTGGTGTTGGCGGCGTTCTTATTATCATCGATTTTTTTTTTCTTCTTCTTCTTTTTCTTCGAAGAAAGACGAGAGAGAGAGATATACAGAGAGAATGTGAAGCAGCCAGAAAAATACATGATTTCTTTGTAAATTTAATAATAGGTCTCCTGTTCCAACCAGCCCCCGGGATTGCGACGCAAATAGAAACGTCTAGTCTCATCATAGATGAAAATGGCCAAAGCAAATGGAATGGCTGGGAACCACCAAACAAATCTATAAATAGCAAAAAATATACAATCAATAATATTTTATGAATCAACCAACACAGTATTCTTCTTCTTCTAGTATTACGACAATTTTTCCTTGTCTTGTGTTGGAAGATTTAACAAATATTTATTTAATTATCATAATAAACTAATTTTGAATGCGTCACAACGCGGAAAGATTATTAATTCAATCTTTTGCTTAACTATTAAAAATTAAACTCCTCGCCGAGATGTGTTCCAGAGTTTGTGCCATCATGTGATGGAGGAGAATAACTTATCATTATGAGCTTGCGCTTTCTCTACTTTCCCGAACGTATTTGACCGACAAATATTTGAATCACGCATAGATTTGAAAAATATAACGTGATTTCACTTCCGATATGTATTTCAAAAGAATTGACTGTGAAGAGATGAGATTGTGCTCGGTCGGCAGTAATTAAAACCTAGATTTGATTGGCATTGTAATTGATTAAGATCAAAGTTATAGCAATGGAGTTTCGTCAGCCACTTTTCCTTATGAAGTTTTCATCTTATACGTCAGAGAAGCTATTTTTTTTCTCGAAATTTCATCAGGTTTTTTCTTTCCGGACATGAAGGTGCTCATAATCATTAATTATTTCGTGCCTCATTTCGAATATAATATATATAAGCAAGT